GGAAATTTTGCCCGGGCCATCGGCTGATTGAAATGGACCAATATTGAATTCTAATTCGTGTTTTTAATTTCGAATATTAAAAAACCAACGTAAGGACTATAAGTTTATTGACAAATGCTTGCGGATTAATACTCTAGTAGATACTGCAAGCTTTTTGTTTTTAACAACAAATGATACTACTACACGGGTATTACTCATAATGAAAAATACTCAAGGAAAACATTAGTCATCCCAGTCATCATTAGAAACATAATGGATCTGAAATAAGACATAACGTTCCTGACCCTTCGGCTATAAAAATGCCTGTAGTTCATTGTTTTGAAGGTTAAATAGCCTAGACACTCTATAACTGTTCGGGTAACGAGTCATTATAGAAAGAAAGCACAAATTGATGGTTATTTTTGTTGTATCTACGATCAATCTATCAGCCTATCTTTACTATCAGTCTAGTTTGTGAAAGATTAGATATCCGCACAATTTGTTGCTGATTAGTGATTGACCTAGGCCTATAATTTTTCTCATACTGAGGTGAAATGAAATGGGGTTTAACGTCTTACTTTGCTGCACCGAGTGGGCTAATCAAGACCGCGGCACTGTGGCCTACTCTTCGAATTTCAACTCTCAAGGATTCTTCTACTCGCATACCAATGTGTACACATAGGCGTACGGGAAAATTTTTGACTAGGGGGGGGGGGGGGCGGTGGTGGTTGGTGCCCCAAAAATGTAGTTAGGTTCTTAGTATGTTACATAATAATAATAATAACTTTATTTTCTTATAAAACTACAAATATACATATTATTTACAGAAAAATGATCTAATAACGATGAAATAATGTTTTAAAATTTAAATAGCAAATAAAAGAACAAACAAACATATATACAAGTTATAGAGATTTCGAGTCTTAAGATTTCTATTTAATTGCCTAACTATAGACACTCTGAATTTAAATTGGACACATTCAAGAACACAATATTTTTTTTATACAACTTTAACAAAGTACAATTGTGTGCCCAAATTTTCCCAGCATTTGGTGCCCAAAATGGGGGCGGGGGCGGCCGCCCCCCAGCTCGTACGCCTATGTGTGTACACGTGACCTGGGTTTAATCACAAAATTCTACTTGAAAATAGTGTTGAATTATTATAAATGATTCCTTTAAGCGAAAAAAAAAGATAGAAGGTAAGGATTCCAAAAGAGCTCTAGAACAGAGGTGGGGAAGAGCGGTATTTTAATATTGCAGCTTCATAGGGATGAATAGGAACGGCCAGTGGACAGCGTCCGATCAGAGACCTTTCCCAAAGGAACTATACTATTCAAAAAAAGTAGGGGATATTTGATTTTGGGGGCATAATACTAAAATATGCAAATGACTACGAAAAAAGTCACTATAGAACCTAACAGAAGAAACATTTCCAGTTACATGTGACGCCCAAACGCACCAATAGTTACCGCATGGAATGCAGGTGATGCTTGGGATCATCATGGGGGTCCAACCCAAGATTTGCACGACTCTGACTTTGAATGTTACAGTCATTGTGGCATTGAATTCCAGGGTGGAAACATCAGTTTAATTGTTTTAGTGACCAGAAAACAAATTTTGATATGCGTCGGCTTACCCAAAATGAAAGGTTACGTGCCCTTGGCATGCTACAGATCGGCACAACACAGGCGGTTGTGGCGCGGACGATGAATGTTTCTCAGTCTGTCATAAGCAGGCTATGGTCCAGATACCGTGATACACAATCTGTACAGGACAGGCCACGCTCAGGTCGACCAAGGGCGACAACTCAAGCCCAGGATCGATTTATCCGTACCTTGGCCTTGAGAAATCGTGTCATCACAGCAAATCAGATCAGCGCTCGTCTTCAAACAGACACTGGTGTGAGAGTGAGTGGCCAGACGATTCGGAATCGACTGCATAGGGGTCACCTTCGCGCCCGACGTCCTCGCGTGATCCCTTGTTTGAGAGATCATCACATTCAGGCAAGACGTCGTTGGTGTAGGGATCGTCAACACTGGGATAATCGACGCTGGAGCAATGTGATGTTTTCAGATGAGTCAAGGTTCACTGTTGATTTTTTGGACAGACGTAGGAGGGTGTGGCGTCGTCGAAACGAGCGCTTCCAAGACGTTAACGTCATCAGACATGATCGATTTGGGGGTGGTTCTGTTATGGTGTGGGGAGGCATCACTGTTGCTGGAAGAACGGCTTTACATGTTGTTGCAGGGCGTGTTACAGGCCAGTACTACCGGGACAACATCTTGGCAGTCCATGTTGTGCCGTTCGCACGACGTCATGGCCGCCGTTTCATCTTCCAGGATGACAACGCAAGATGTCACAGGGCCAGGATCGTTACAGGTTACCTCCAACAACAGAACATCACCACATTACCTTGGCCAGCACTGAGTCCCGACCTCTCCCCCATCGAGCATGTCTGGGACATGCTTGGACAGAGGTTACGTCAACGTCAACAACGTCCTGCCAATGTCCAAGAACTTGCTGCTGCGTTGCAACAGGAATGGGACAATCTGGACCAAAATGACCTTAGACGTCTCATTAGGAGTATGCCACGTCGGATCAATGCTTGTTTGGCAAACAGAGGAGGATTTACCCGTTACTGACTTGGTTGTGATGCTGTGGTAACTTTGCTGTTTGACCCCGGGTATCATTTTACCCTTATAATGGTCAGTCTGTGCCTTACTTAGTCTAACGATCATTTGGAATAAATCGATGAATGTGAACTTCATTTCATTTTGTCATTTGTTTCTTCGTCAGTTTCATTAGGTGACTTTAATAACACTTAAAAATCAAATATCCCCTACTTTTTTTGAATAGTATAATATAAAAGAACTAAAGAATAGTTATGTGTTTTGTAACGGGTATATCTGCCAAGAGACACAGAAGCGCAAAATCTACCGCTCTAGCACCTAGATGATGTTCTGTCATTACGGAAAAAAAAATAAGTCGACAGTAATCGAACAACGAACCGCGTGATTAATGTGTGGCCTATTCCCATGGTTAATGTAGTCGTTTATTGGCTAACTACCAATACTTACTAGCCAATCAATGGTTAAACATTAAAAGGTGGATCATTAATGTGAAAATAAAGACGAGAGATCCCCCCTTGCGTTTGGAGAATAGCGGTAACATGAGTCTGGATGAGAGAATACCTGAGCCTATCTAATACCCCACTGCATAAATAATGTCCGTGTTCCATTTTATTGTCTTTAACCTTTCGATTAATCTGTTGGGTGATATGTCAGAATTGGCACCGGCAGTCTCTTCTTTATTCTAAAATGCAATTTGTCCAATATAAAAGACATTCCCCCGTCATTGCCCTCTCTGCGGTATCCTACAGTGTAGGTAGAAGCGTGCAGTATTCCCACAATGTGTTGTGATCAACCTGAAAGGTGAAAGGATTATTTTTATGTTGACTCACTAATGAAACGATAGTGCCTAAAATCACGTGTTAAAGTGCATTTCTTGTTACTGAAATATTTGTTTGCTGTTCAATATTTTTTTCAGATGATAATCAAGTGCAACCCCCCACAGCTTTGAACAGCTGAAAGATAATCTTTAGACCTGCTGATCATCATTTAGATTTTTCCAACAGTTTCTAATTTTTATACGCCCACAAAACTGCCGGACAAAATGGCCGCCCCTTGTACGCAAATAGTGTAAATATATGGTATATCAAGGTTGTGGACCCTCTAGAGGTCACAATGTTGATCCGATTTTGACGAAACTTGACGGATATCTTTATAACCCAAAGATCTTGGTTCCTGTCGATATTCGCGCATATCGGATTGCAACTTTCTGAATTATGGCCCTTGATTGTACGAAAAATCGCTTTTTGTTTAACTTGTTCTCTATCCATCTCTTGCAAAATGTCGGCGTATCCTGCCTGACAGCCACTGGTTCACGGTTCAATCAATGCTTAAATCAACTTAAAATATCAAGGGAATGTAATCACCCGCCATGGATTCAATCGGATTAAAAAGAGTCCCATCACAAGATTTTAGTGATGATTTTATAGGCAGTGATGGCTTGTTTTAAACATATCCTATTTATATCGTCTGCATCCTAACTACCTGGCTCGAGATTCAGTTTTCCTCGCACCCAATTAAAGAGCAATCAAATAGTCAATATCCTGCAGTAGAATCGTGTTTGGACTGAAATTCCTATTAGAGATCCAACTTTCACAATACTGTAGTTTACATGTGATTAAAGGTTCTTCATCCTAGTTCATTCAGATTTTCCGGTGTGGTTTCCCCTTGTCAGTGATGCAGGATGGAGGGCCTGACAAGGACAGCTGTCTAGTCGTTCGGATGGGACGAAAAACCGAGGTCCCGTGTACACATTGACGTACACGTAAAAGATCCCTTGGCAGTTGGAATTCGATATAAGAGTAGGCCGTAGCGCCGCTGCCCGGGCAAAATTTCCCTCATAGCACACTGTATGGTGTATGCCCGTCTTCATTAGCCCAGGTTAGGAGCAGAACAGTAGGACGTTAAACTCAATTTCATTTCACTTCAATTTCTTCATCTGAGGATCAGAGACTTGAAATCATAATCCCGTTTTTGTGGTAATAATTACACACATTCGACCAGTAATAAATACGTTAGCATGCATGATTGGCTAGAAAATAGGTTGCGCAAATTGTGCAGTAATCAATTACTTTTTATTTTATAAACTGGTATGTTATCATTCAAGGTTTTATCCTTGAATGCTATCAAGTCGAATGGCTGATAATCTACAAGATAAACTAGTTTACAGTATAGTTATTGTTACATGTATCATACGATAACTTGGTGTGTAAAATGTTGAAAAGTAAAGGAAGATTTGCTTGTATTTTATTATCCAGCATATGTTCAGCATGGGCTGGTCTCTTGTACCCAAGAACTTCCCAATCAAGAGAGGTGCAACTTCTTGATGGAATGTGGAATTTCAGAACAGACGATTCACCCAACAGAAACGCTGGATTTGAACAACGCTGGTATGAGCGATATCTCTCTGAAACTGGACAAGTAATACCCATGCCGGTACCATCTAGCTATAACGATATAACCGAAGACGGAAGGATTCGGGATTTTATAGGCTGGGCTTGGTATGATACTGAATTCTTTCTCTCCAGCGACTGGACTAACAAACGAGTGGTCTTAAGAATCGACAGCGCCCAGTACAATGCTATTGTATGGGTAAATTCTAAACAAGTAATGACTCATCAGGGAGGCCATATTCCATTCCAGGCAGACATCAACCAATATTTGACAGTTCCATCTGATGGTCCAAATCGTTTAACCGTGGCGGTAAACAATACTTTGACTCCTTACACCATTCCACCTGGTACCATAGATTGGCCTGGTAAAGACAGTCCAATACCATACCCACCCAACTATTTTACTCAGACATTACAAATGGATTCCTTCAATTATGCCGGTATAGATCGTCACGTTAGCCTTTACACTACACCAAAATCATATATTGACGATATTACTGTTACTACTAATATTGTTGACACTACTGGAATAGTTAACTACCGGGTTGTTACCGTTGGGGATATTCCCCAAGGTGACATTACCGTACGAATACTGAACAGGACTGGAGCAATTGTCGGTCAAGGAGGTGGTTCCTCGGGAACTATAAAGATCCCTAATGCTAATCTCTGGTGGACCGTCAACACAAACAATTTACACCAACCAGGTTATCTGTATACGCTAGAAGTTCATACCGGAGAAGATGTAGATGCAGACGTTTATCGACTTCCTTTTGGAATTCGCACGGTCAAGGTTGTGGGTAGAAAACTTCTATTAAATAACGAAGAGTTTTATTTTAAAGGAGTCGGCATCCATAACGAAGCCGAAATTAGAGGACGTGGATTGGATTATGCAATGATCGTTAAAGATTTTAATCTGATGAGATGGGTGGGAGCGAATAGTTTTAGGACAGCCGTGTTTCCGTTTTCCGAGGAATGGATGGACCAAGCCGACCAGCAAGGATTTTTAGTAGTAGATGAAGGTAAATATTGTTTTTCGTCTCCCAAGCCAGTATCAATAACGGGTGCAAGTAATGCGGCCCTGTACGTCATTAGCTGGTAACCTCGGTGGCGTCTAGAGCCATTAGTTTAATGTGTTATAGCGGAGACATTAATCACACGTCAACCTTCAGGGAAAGCTGTTATAACAAAAGACCTTTGCGGTAAACGTGTTTTTGTCAAGTTACGGGATTGTTGTGTCTTCATTATTTATCGAGAGTATGATGTCGTCTGTCATGATTTAAAAGCCAGTGATCGTAATTATAACGCATCGTGGAAAAGCGAATAATTGTCCCGTGAAGCATACTAAGAACTTGGTGGTTTTGTCATGTAAAATCAATACCAGCCGTTGACCTCCCGTGCATGTTTTTGTCACCTCATGACCTGTCAGCCATTTATTTGAATATAATTAATATAATATCTGTAAATCTAGCCATATCAGTAATACCAATAAGTTGATTAACACAAGACTTGTGATAGATTGAAATATATAAGCTTGATTTATTTCATCTACCTCAATAATTCAACTTGCTAAAAGCCAAGTAATTAAGGCAATGCACAACAAAAAATAGTCTCACTGAAAAATAAATTGGATCAAAAATGATTAAATCAATAAATTTTTAACTGAAGTTGTGGACATCTAAAGTTCACACTGCTTTCTAGTGATTTAAACCCATCGGCCTATCCATGAACATCGACGTCAACGTGGTATCAGTCGATTAATTGTTTTACTTGAAGACATTCCATCCCTTATTTCTGCAAAAACGGTTAAGTAGGAAAATGATGATAGCCCTTCTTGCGCATTGTAGAGTCCCCAAACCAGATTTGTATTCCACAGCGTGATATCTTCAGGGTCATAACAGCAGCCTGGAGTGTCCGGGTGGTTACAGTACATCTTGTTCAAGAATGATGATGAGTTGGCAAACACACTTTGGGAACTCCACATAAAGTCAAGCTCCTATGCAGATGTTTCTGTCTTAGTTGAAGGGAAATCCTAGATATATATCAGTAAATAAAACTGATTTTAAATTCTCTGTGGAAGGCCCTTCCAAAACCTATAGTCCCAAGCAACTGGCTATAACTCGGTGACAACTTTTCATTGGTGTTTACAAAAACAAAGGTTTAAGCTTATGAACGGATGCGAACGGCGATATCGGTCAAAGTATTTAAAACTCGGTTGGGATGTTCATTGTGAAATAAGGAACAGACTTATCCATAATCACAGCTATCAGTTAACTCATTGGGCGATCATTTCCAAACTACTAAATATTTGGAGCTGTAAAATTCATCCAAGGTTAACACACTATGTCTGATCGCTTTGGTGTTTTCAATTTGGATACTTAATTTGTTTAATTCGGATTCCGAAAAATCGAATCTATCGAGGTATATTTAATTCTTAATTGGGGCGCATTGAAATCTTACTTTATTTTACAGTTCCAGCAGTTGGATTAAACAGCCTTGATAATCTCAGCAACCAAACTCTTCAAAATCATATGAACGCCATGTCAGAGCTTATACAAAGAGATAAAAACCGCCCATCTGTATTCCTGTGGTCGGTTGCCAACGAACCAAGAACCGACCGTCCAGAAAGCCTGCCTTACTTCCAGACCATCATCAACTTCACTAGATCTCTGGACCCAAACAGATTAGTTAGTTTTATGTGCAATCATGATTTTAATTCAGACAAATGTGTACACTTGGTGGATCTTATTTTCATTAATAGATATGTTGGCTGGTATTCCCAGACAGGACTTCTAGACTTAATTCAACCCCAACTGAAATATGATCTAGATCAGTGGGCTGAAACCTTCAACAAACCTCTTGTTATCTCTAAATACGGTGCTGGGACCATGCCTGAAATACATCGAGTACCATCTACAGTATTTAGTGAGGAATATCAGATTGACTTTCTCAGTAGATATCACAGAACTTTTGACAGCGCACGTGGTAATTTAACCGGGGAATTTGTATGGTGCTTAACGGATTTCAATACTTATCAGTCCATAAAAAGGGTGAACGGCAACAAAAAGGGAATATTTACCCGGGAACGACAACCTAAGATGTCGGCATTTAATCTTCGCCACAGATATCTAACGTTCAATAATACAGACTATTGTACTAAAAACCCTTATACGTAAGTCTTTCTGTGATGTCTCTATAGTCCGCTAATAGCACGTAGGCTAAATTAAATAACATTACTCTCGGGGTGTTCAAATCGCTGTTAAAAGTAGAACGTTAAGAAATCAATATAGTTCATTATTCTGAGTGTTGGTGCCATAAAAGCCTTTCTTTAATATTCCGCTGGGTCGTACAATGACAATTTGGCAGCGACTTCTAATCTTCACAAGGCAACCCGTATTTTTTAAGATCTTAAAGAGGCAACATCACCAGGCAATCATCGCCATTTAGTTGAAAATAATTTGACGTTATTTGTCTGTTGCAACTGCAGGTAAATGTGTACATATTACATTTTGTGGAAAAATTTAGATAAATTATTAGTTTTGTACTGTACGCCAACACAATATTATGGTAACTGATTAATGAATTTATAACAGGATCACATATAATTCTTTAGCCACAAATGAACACAGGCATATTAATTTAAAAACAAAGAAATCTTTAACATGTTCTGTTTTTAATATAATGTTCACACCTTTCGAGATACAATGAATGAAAGTTTTGGATTTTTAAAACAGTACTATTGAATAACAATTAAATGTGAACTACCGACAATGTGAAGTGGGCTTTATATGCACCAATCGGGCTTGTGAATCGGGCATACGTTATGCAGTGTGCTATGAGGAAAATGTAACCCTGGCAGCATTTTCAATCGAAGGCATGGTCTCGCTTTAACTTCGTATATCTTATGTTGTAAAACTCGCGGTCGTTGCTTGAACATGCTCTTACAGCGGCGCTACGGAATACTCTTACATGTATTTCTATTTCTATTTTAAAGAAGCATCAATGAAATGAAATGAAATGGGGTTTAACGTCCTACTGTTCTGCTCCGAACTGGGCTAATACAGCCTTCTCTTATATCGAATTCCAACTGTCAAGGGATCTTTTACGTGCACGTCAATGTGTACACGGGACCTCGGTTTTTCGGCCCATCCGAACTACTAGACAGCTGTCCTTGCCAGGCCCTCCGTCACTGACAATAAAGAAGCATCATGTAAGATTTAGATAAATAGCTGGTCGTTCTTGCTATAATAGTTCGAAAATAGATTATGCAAAATGAATATATTGAAACTGAGCGAATATCTTTGCCTCGCTTAACCATTTTTAAATTAAATCATTATCTGGCCGAACCGTTATAATTTTCTTAAAATAGGACTCATCCGATGGCATCGAGGGTTGATTATGGTCTTGTCATGTTAATAAATGTCTAATTGATAGTTTATATCACACTTAAGGCCTCAAGAAAGACCTGCAATAGGCAGATTTAGCTCTTGTATGTCTGTTTAATGTGCTGCCAATACTATACGTAAGGCGTCTACTTGGGGAAACCTCCTATACTAAACTTATACTGCCTGTCTACAATTAACTCCGATTGTAAACAGACATTAAGCTAGCTGACTGACATTGTAATTCCTAAATCAACGATTTTAGTCGAAAACAAAAAATATACCTCGAGAATTTTGAAAAGTATTTATTCCGCTTCCACTTAATAAAACTGAAAAGCTTTATTAATCTTAGTGTTTATGACAGACGTGAAACGTAGTGGAGCTGCATTACAAAGTAGTAAACAATTTTTTAGATATGGCGGTCATTAAGGGGAGAGATCTATTCCCAAAGTAGATAGTTCTCCAGTATGCAGAATGGGGGTTGGGGGACTAGGTTGGACTTTTCGACCAACACCAGGACCTCCAGATTAGTGAGCCAGTGCCAGTCACCATTGCTCCTGATCGACAATATATGACGACACTTTAATATTTGCGTGTAAAAATGGATTCCGTGTCATTTCTTGGTGAAAGTGACAATGTATCTTTAAAGTTTGATTAGATGATATGGTTTACGATTCTACAAATTGAGCTCATTTGAACTATCACATCTGAAAACCGATTATTTTCAGTAGCGTGCACTCAAATTAATGTTTAAAATCCATTCGTTTTTTCCCCCTGGTTTAATCATTTCAGTTTTATTATCTTTAATTGGGACCTAACCAAGCATTCATGGTATACGCTACTGTACGGAGACAAGCAAATTTGTGTTAATATGAGTGACCGCCACGGAATGTACGCTGCTTTCGGGGTATTGGAAATGACGTTAGCAATGGGGTTTAACGTTCACTCGACACAAACTAGGTCATTTCGGGACTAACATAATTTTATTTCAATTATTCGCTTGCGCGTAGGGGTCTTTAGCAGTGGGAGGAAACCGGGGTACTTGGAGAAAACTTGCGAGGTTGGACGCCTGTCTCCTTGTCACGTACAACCGGGGAATCAAAACCAAGCCAGTGACTCAATGACAGACCTTATGATACAATGTGCACGTGCTAATCATACAACCACCCCCACCGACGAGAACAAGCGTTTGAGGAAAAGCAAAGTGACACACAAGATGCTTTAAAATATTTTCACTAAGAGCAGTAACTCTTAAATACAAACGGACGCAGACCACCATTAATCTCCCCATTGACTTCAATGTTAATTCTGGCCTCTTTGCCCACCTCAAACTTTTCCCCAAATTTTCGTTGGGCTGAATGCTTTTCACTACAGACAGAGGAACAAATGGTCATGTCTTTGCACTAAAATTTGTATGAGGTTGACCACCAAAATTTTGAGATACACAAACTTGAAGAAGCATACTAAAAACATGTAACTAGTTGTCGTACATATCGCCGTAGCCAACCTGATATCCTTCCGCCTCAAAATCATGAATATTTACCAAAACCTGGCAGAAAATGTTTATTCAAACCCTCTTCGTCCATTCTAGAACAAAAAATCAACAAAAATGGGCATGCAAAAGGGGAGAAAAGAGAGAGAGAGAGAGAGAGAGAGAGAGAGAATTGCTATAAATAGACGAACTACAATTCGTGGTACCGAGATGGTGAAATTTAATGGTGGTCTGCCTCTTAACAAGAGCTGTACTAAAGGACGTGAGATACCAAATTTTAGAAGAGTACACGTCTAGTCTGGAATACATGAGATTTAGCTGAAGATTTTTAGAGAATTTCTGCTATTGAAAGGGCAATAACTACAATTTGTATCCTTTGCATATTCTTCCAGTCTCGCTCACAGAAATTACATACCGAGTGTATAAGAGATTTCTATACCTGCCTCACGTTCAGCACAATTTGCAAGCCGCATTGAGAATGACATTGTATATTATGGTACAACTTTGATTGACACTGAGAGAATATTGAACAATATCTAATTTTCCCTGTTTGTTCCACGTTAAAATGCATTCAAATTGAATATTTAATTAAGAAAGAAGATATCAACGGTAGATAATCTCCTTACACTTGATTATATGACATGTTAGAAATGTTTTCCATTCATCATATCTTTGTAAATATTGAACGGAAATGAACCATTTTTGGACTGGTATTCTTTCAGATATTAGGGTGGAGGTCGGGTGTTCGATCCCTGCATTGGCCGAGAAAGAGAGAGAGAGAGAGAAATGGGGTTTAACGTCCACTCGACACAAACTAGGTCACTTCGGGACTAACGCATGGTTTAATTTTATTTACATAATTTGCTTGCGCGTAGGGGTCTTTAGCAGTGGGAGGAAACCGGAGGACCCGGAGAAAACCCACGAGGTTGGACAGGTGACCCTACTCCTTGCCACGTACAACCGGGGATTCGAAACCACGCCAGTCGACTTGGCCGAGAAAGTTCATCCAGATTTTCCGGCATGGTTTCCCTTCGTCAGTGATGTAGGACGGAGGGCCTGACAAGGACAGCTGTCTAGTCGTTCAGATGGAACGAAAACCCGAGGTCCCGTGTACACATTGGCATGCACGTAAAAGATCCCTTGGCAGTTGGAATTCGATATAACAGTAGGCCACCCAACCCTTCTTCATTGTACAGTGAAATTACAAATATTCATGGTATGTCAATACATGTATTAGTATACATTTAGACCCTAAACAGATGAAAATGATGAAAACATTCATCAATTGGAGTTAAATATTAGAAGCCAAAGAAAGGCTATATGTGTCCTAGTCCTGCCCTGCCAGATCCCTTTAGGGCTGCTTGCACCATCCAAATTATATACATTATCAAAATGTGAGAAATTCTATAAAGTATAAATAAGGAATGAATGAAATGGGGTTTAACGTCCTACTCCTATACTGGGCTAATGAAGACGGGCATACACCATACAGTGTGCTACGAGGCAAATTTTGTCAGGCCCTCCGTTCTGCACCACCGACAAGGGGGAAACCACGTCAGAAAATCCTGATGAACTTTCTCGGCCAATGCAGTATAAATAAGACTATGCAAGCCAGAACAATTTGGCAACAAACACAACCCAAGTTTGGTTGGAATTTTTGAAAGAGTTTTTCAGAAGGCGTTCAAACTTTGTGAAAAATAAGAATTAGGCAGATAGTTTTAAATAAATCTGATTAAGTACCAACCAGGTAAACATACCCACAAAACTTGTTCACATAAAAAAAGGACGTAAATGAAAAAAGTTAACTGACCACGGACGGATAGGGGTTATTTTATAAAAACGATGGATTAGAAAACCCTGTCTATAAATTCAAATAAATAAAACAGTTAAAAATCTAAATAAAGATATTTTTATTTACATAATTACAATGTAATGTCTTCCTCACATCATATTTTATTTACAATGTCTATAACCAGACTGTCTTCAACAACAATTAAAATATATAGACATGTTAACAGATCTACAAGACAATATACTAGAATTGTGAAGAGTGGATAAACATTGACTATTAACACATCTTTATTTGGGCAAGCGGGGTAACATCTCCAACTAAAGTTCAATCCGTAAATGTGCTGTCTGACAACTAATTGTCAACATCTATGCCATGGAGTCTGGGAATAGAATTCTCTGTAATCTTGATACAAGACAAGGTAACACTTCTCACAAGTACAATCCATTCTATTCATTATGAGTCATGGTGAAAACAAGATAACAGATAAACTAGCAGGCATACAAAGATTTGCCATATTTACAATCTGTTTTATTGTTGAAAAATAAAATATTAGAATAGACAAGCTGATATTTTTACAATACATATACACATAGCAATATTAAAATTCAAATCATTTGAAAATCATTTACTTCTGAGTGTAGATGTATGTATATCAGTTTCCTTCCAGTATTCTCTAAATCGATCTACAAATCAGAAATTGTAATACACAAAATTTGTTTAAATCTTGTGATGTCTAAGATGTCTACAATGGTTTAGCAGATTAAACAAAATAAGGAAGCACAGTCCCACGAATCTGTTAAAGATGTCCGTAGATTTGATGTCTAATTCCAAACGAAAGTACTATTATTATGCTGATCTTGAACATCTGGAGTGCAGTTTTAATAAATAGATCTGACAAAATTAATGGAGTGACTAGCCAAATAAATGGAAAGAACATATAAACATCTAAAATTATAATTAGATTAAATTCCCTTCCAATTATTGTAAAACTCTTAAAAAAGAGTTAAAATACATGATTGCTATTTAAGTACTTCAATTACCAGCTTCATATATACAATATTTTATCAAAGAAATATTGCTAAAATTTATTACATAATTGCCCGTCTTAATATCATAATTATACTGCAAGACTGGCACCAAGATGGACATATCCATGCAAAAGACATGGATATAACAGTCTTCAAAGTCTTCAGTCGTTCTAGCAGTCCTGGAAGTCTAAAAAAAATTCCACTGAGTCCCTACCAGATAAAAGTATATTGTACATCAACTGATTTCATTATATCTCTGTTGCATCATCTGTTTGATGCCATCTTGATATGAAGCTGAAGCATCTACACCATAAGTTGAACCTCTGGCACCAAGACCAGCTGTAGCAGATCGCTTTGTTACCTAAAACATAATTATATACATTATAAAACTCACAAATCTAACCTCAATGTACTTTAATTTCACCTTAACAACAGTATTCAAATTAGATTTCATCTTGGTCTGAATATGAAGACAGTTTGGATTTAGACATGAGATGAGAAAGACATTAGATTTGCTTATATCTTGACTCATAAAACAATGATTATCCAATACAAAAATGCTCATGCTTCATTATATGATTTTTAACATATACAAGAAAAACAAAATTTGTTGACAGAGGAAACTTCACCAAATATGTGAATTGACATCACAGCTCAAACATTTAACCCTGGTTTGACAAATAAACACTTGGTTGGATGTTATAATTTCATACAGTAAGAAAATATCCAAATCTTTCCAATTACTACTATTACCAGGAACTTGGTGGTCAGATAACAAATCATACACCCACAGAATTCAAAGATGTTCAGCAATCCCTAAAGGTTGTCACATTTTTTTTTTTGAGGGTACAAGACACTAAAAACTGACCAAGGGCAACAACTCACAAAGTAGTAATTTGAAATAATTAATTTGATAGGCTCCTTCCTAGTGCTAACAATCTATTGATAATCACATGACAACTTTCAATTGAGTCCAAAAGCAATTAGAGTATTAAATAAAATAAAGTGATAATGCATTATTTTCATAAATATTTTATAAACGTACAGTAACCAAATCTAATCTGCCTTGATTAGACCGACCAAGACCTTGACCACTGGACCAACCCATTTTACCCATCATTTTACTGCCTAGACCACCATCAAGAGATTTGGGTGGCTTTGATTCTGCATCCGCAAACATACTGTAAATACATTTGTTTAAATTTGACATAAGTTGCATGGTCAACAAATATATACAATATCACCACACACATGACAGCTACATGGCCAAGAAAGACATCACAAGCTTGAGAAAATTGTAATTAAGGATAAAAAGAAACCTTGCAATGCTGAGGTAAATAATAATATAGATCACCAAAGTTCTTCGAACTATATCCAACCCCAAACTTCTTGGATGGAAAACTTGTTGGAATATTCAATGTCAATCTGATTAAAACACAGATCCTATTCCGTTTTGTTTTTTATAGTTCAAAATATCGTTTTTGTCTTTACTACACTAGGATCTGGAAGAGTTGTAAAATAACCTGTGTTCTGGATGGCGTGAGAGATAAGCCAATGAAACCATCTGTTACGACGACTTCTTGGCGTGCGATGCCTGGAACTGTGGCAAACCACTAGAAATGTCAAAGCTGATTGATTAATCAATGTCTGATGTCATAGGGTCAAAGCCATTCTTTTACTACAACCGGTCAGATCTTTATGTAGTGTAGGCCATCGAAAGTATACAAAACAAAAGGAAATATATATCTGTATTTTAATAAGATTGATTCAATAAAGATGTAAAAACTTGATGGAATAGTCCACATAAATTTAAAACCTTTCACAAAATGGACTTACTTTAAACTTTGTTTTTTACTTTTATTATTAGATTCAGGATGACCAGCTCCAAACTTTTCTCTTCTTTCTTTTGCACGATCTCGGTACTAAAATATAAAATAATTTAACTCATCGTCAGGTTAAATTCCAATGATCAAGTCAAATACTATAGTAAAACTTTCTAAAATAATTGAATTCACTTCTCATCGATCATCAAATGTAGCAGAAGGATACTATAGGTTCAACGTAAACCTGACTACAGATTTGCTATACACCTACATGTAACTAGAGATTCACTATATACCCGATTACCGATCCACTATATACCCAACTAAATATTCATAATATTATACCCAACTACAGATTCACTATATACCTAACATACCCAATTACAGATTCCCTACATACCCAATTACAGATTCACTACATACCCGACTACAGATTCACTACATACCCGACTACAGATTCACTATATACCCGACTACAGATTCACTATATACCCGACTACAGATTCACCATATACCCGACTAAATATTGATAATATTTGATTTAATATTCCACACTGTCAAAAGTTCCAATGTTAGTGCTCACACAAAATAATCAAACATTTGCCTTCGAACATTCCCGACAATTTGATAAGGTTCAGACAACTGGGATGAAGTAATGATAATAATATTAACCTGATGTGTTTGTTCAACTGTTACTTGTGATGGGTTACTATCTGTTCTCCATTTCTCTAAGTTTTGCTGAAAACATACAACATAGATTTTAACAGATCAGTTGAATATACACTACATTCTAAAAAGATCAGAATTCAAGCAAACATCTTAGTTTTCTGCACAAGGTCTAAACACACAATCTTCACAAGGAATTACTTTGATCATGTAAGAATCATTAGAGATAATCTAGTCTTATGTCTACAGCTGTTTCCAAGGAATAACATAATAATGATTTGAAAAGCCTGATGTAAAGCTTTTCAAATGTGACTTGATTTAAAAATATTTTTGAACCCTCTGGACAAGTAAAATAGGATTGAATGGATAATTTACACAACAGGTAGGACACTTAACACATCTAGTACTTAGAATAAGGCTATTTTTTATTTTTTGGAGCTGTCAAGCCAGCAAGAGTGTTATTGTCCCTTTAAATGAGTAATATGTTACCTTGTGTAGATCAGAAAATTGTATATGTTTAGTAAGTATTTCTTTAGACTGAAACTGTCTTTTACATAATAAACAGGCCAATTTCGACCAATCAAGTAACTTTGATTCATCAGCTTCATTTGTTTCTTGTTCATCTTCTTCTTCATCACTATCACCACCATAAGATGCTACCAATAGACTTTTACCAGTTTCTGTAGATGGTGAAGTTTCTGTATTACCTCCAGCACCCTAAAATACCAACACCATTTTATACTTTAAGAGAGAAAGAGGAATGGGGTTTAACACCCACTCGAAAGCATATTAGTTCATTTCGGGACTTACATGGTTCAATTTCATTTCAATAATTTGCTTGTGCATAAGGGTTTTTAGCAGTGGAAGGAAACCAGAGATAAATCCATGAGGAATTCCACGAGGAATTGAAACCAGGCCATTTGACTCAATGGAAGACCCTATGATCCAACACAAATGCGTTAACCCATTCTGCCATCCAACCCCAGACATATACATATTTGCATCACCCAGCAGTAGTATAATATTAAAACTTGAACATAGAATGAAATAATCTAAATATAGTTCAATAATTTAACAAGATCCGCCATTTAGATTATGTATTATTTTATTGGATATAATTTGTATATTATTAATACTTACAAATACTGGTGGCGGTGGCATTAATTTCTTATCTTCAGCTTTTTTCTATAATAAATAATATTTTCAATGACTGATAAAGAATCAATGATGCCTCAAAAAGCAAATTTGTCTTTATTGATTTAGTGATCTTCATTTTTAATACGAAGCAATGATTCAATTTTTGTTGCAAGTGGTTAATCCATTTTAAACATAGGCAATAGGTGAAAAAGAAATACCCTAGTCATAATTAATCCTGATACACCATCTAAAGACCAAAAAAAACTTCCATTACATCATAATAAAACAGATTATATACTTACTGAAAACATGGCAAAGCCTGCATCTGCTGTTGCTGATTCCTTTGAATTGTTATAACCAGACATTGGATTACCCGTTACCTTCTTAGAATCTTTCTTAGTGTTCAATGTTTTAGCCCATTTCTCCATATCCTGCATAAAACAATAAAACCATTAGGTACATTATTTGCGTAAAACATTACTCTATAGCCATTCAACAGGACATTTCAGTACCAATGCAGTTTATATTTATTACAATAATGAAATTATCAGGTACAACATTTGCATAAAATATTACCCTATTGCCATTAAAAAGGACATTTCAGTACTAATGCCGTTTATATTTATTACAATAATTCAAACGCACACAGGTTTTTAACTGAGGGAGGAATTTGAAGTACACAGAGAAACCCCATGTCCATGTCACATACAATGTTACTGAGTGCCCTACAGTACTTGCTTTAGATCACTCAGTAAACCACTCATTCAGACTTGTCTATATATATTACCTTGGTGAGACTGTCAAAGCATACAACTTACAGTAAAATAACATTCTCCATAGAGAATTTATCAACATACCTTAGCAACCTTTTTGGCAATTTTAACTTTGTCTTTTTTATCTGCAGGGTCTTTTTCTTTGTTGCCATTATCTTGTCCATCTGTAGGCGCTGGTAAATATGTTGAACTAGAAGAATCCCAGTACATAAACTGGGCAGTATGTGAATTATAATAATACTGAAATACAAAAACTTGGCTATAAGATATTTACTTCTGGAATGTTATTTTATATAGATAAATGTTAGGATTAAGGTTGATTATTACTGATACTGTTATTCATCATCACTGGTATATATATGTATTAGTAGAGATCAGTTGAGATCAATAATTCACACTTGATCACAGGGAATTCACTTCAGATCAGGAAAACAAAAAATCACATTTGTCAACACATGTAATATTACACTTTTTATATACACATAGTTAACACAAGTATGCACACTTCATAGAACTATCTTCTTAAACACACATATAACAAAAACAGAATCTCAACGAACATGCTGTCTTACATGCACACCAAATTCACTTCACTTGATTTGATTAACAAAAAAATACAGATGTCTCAGTCCAATTAATACATAAATTGATTCTGAACATCCCATCAGTTACAGTTGATCACAACATTTCTATTGAAACTTCCAAAAAAATCCAACAACAAAAACGCCCACATCCATCAGAACATCTTCAGAACTTGTAAAACGGATTGGATTAAATTTTTAGAATTCAATAATGTATGCATAAATCACAACCTTTGAACTGCTGAATTGTTTACATTTTCAACCATTTCTACACACTATTTTGGCCTTTTTTTTACAATTACTTCCACAGCCTTAAATGAATCACAAGGTATTTGTAAAACACTAAGAATTCTGGATGAGCTTTGTCTCGTGCACCTGTACATTCAATGATGACTGTTGATTTACACCTGAAGTTCTCTTTAACAACAGAATCACGACTACAATGACACCTATATACAATTGAGCTCACCAAGTTCTCTTGTCTTATAGAAGATATTACAGCAAATCTTTATCGTGTAAGTGAGCGATCTGACTACCAGGAATGATCCAGTGTTTAGACAGGTTCTCTGTATTCTTGCTACTACTACACTCGAGGTTTCTACATGAGGTAAGAGAAGAATCTGGACAGCTTCTACAGCAGTTTAAATACATATTAATGTTTCCTTAGCACTTTATGAATCACTATTCAGATTAGTCTTACTTGTTGAGTTCCAAACAGTTACATGTAGTTCTTGATGCTGGATAAGATCAACATAACTGGATTCTGATCAGTTAATATTTTCTTATGGTTTTAGCAACAACTGGATTGATTATAGTTATGTTCAGATCTGAATCATATATCATGTAAGTGTTAACTGCATTCTATTAAAGATGTAGTTCTTGAAGAATTTTTTTGAAAAGTTCACATTGGAAGTGATCAAGTTACTAGTTTTTTGAAAATATCATCAAATGTTGTGACTGAAAGTTAATGCCAATGGTGTCATTGATAAGAGCATTGAACATCTTATGATGAACACGACACCATTTAATGATCTTTAGATAGCATTTTAGTATCTTATCCAAATTATAACTGAGTAAGCACTTCACATTGAACAAGGTCAACACTTACTAAATGAAGAAAATGAAGTAGTTTTATAAACTGCATTTCAATTATTTTAAAAGCTGCTGTTCCGATTGATGAAGATTCAGACCAGTTTATTTACAGAATATGAACACTTATTTCCAAAGTTTGACGTAGATCCTAGTTTATTCATCATGTCCTCTTCCTTTACGAACAGGGTTTTTTTTTTTTTATTTGAAAATAAACAACTGATAAGTTTTTGTATTTCTATGTCTGTTTTACCATTTAACTTTTTTCATTAAATAAAAAGGACTTATTGACTTATTATATTTATTTTTTATAATAGCACTTAGTTAACAATTGAATACACATCTCAATAATCTCTTTAATCAAGTTTTTTAAAATTGTATTTGTCCTGAGCAGCCATCCAATTTAGAATAAGGCCAATAGATCGCCAATGTATCAAACATGCACAAGAATTCATTGGATTTAAATTGAATTCTTTCGGTACTGTCCATCCTGCAAACTTACAAAGGTTAGTCATGACTCTAACATCAGTTGACTGGGGTTTTAAAGTTGAAGTCATTTTTCCACTTTTATTTACTTTTTCTTTCAGTGACGACAAGGAACAACATTTAGCTGCCTTGGCCAAGAATAACAAAGCATGTAGTTGATTACTTTGAACTTCTGGATTCTTGTCCTTACTACGAATACACGGAGGGCAGTGAATTGTTTTAACATGATTTCTCACATATCTAGTTGATGTGTTACATTTACGCAACGGACATTTCTTGAGGTCATGGACTTGTCTTTTTGAATCCTTAGGTTTATTTTCCTTCTGCGATTTAAAATCATTTTCTTCGCTCGCCTTAAAATTAACATCAAGTTGTTCCAATTTAAGATCCAATTCTCTACGTCGTCTTTGGAGATCCTCCAAGGATGGTATGTTTTTGGAAGGAGAGCTTGATATTCTATTGCTCGTTTCAGTTGGATGTTCAACAGAACTTCTTGCATTTTGGCTACGACTAATATGACTATGAGTATCAATACTTCTGCTCCCAGGTCTTCTACTATCACGACTTTGCCTGTCATCCGGACATCTACCTCTACTTCTGCTTTCGTGACTTATGTTTCCATGGCTTCTACCTTCATGACTTCTATTTCCATGACTTTGAGCAATAGGGCTAACAGGTACAACAGGGCTTGATTCTCCAGGCAGAGATTCCAGATATTCGTCATCAGATGAAACATCTTCATAAGACGACACATCATCATAAGATTCATTTTCAGAGGACAAAATGTCTTCCAGAGAGGAAACACTGTCGTATCCAAAAAATTCTTTCTCAAAAGATGCCTTTGTGGATGATACATCAGATGCTGCATCCGAAGACACCTCATCATACACCTTTTCTGGTAATACTTCAACATACTTGAGATTACTACGTAGACGTGGTTTAACTGGTTTTTTATCATACCGTCTAGGGTACAGTCCACCAGGACGCATCTAAAAATAAAGAACTCAAAGATTAACATTTTAGGCCAAGTGGCCCACAAGTCATAGCAATGAGCATTGGGCAATTCATAATGTGGATGCGTGTAGACTCCTCATAGATGACTGAATCCACATCAGCACATGTAAATAATAAGGTAGGTTGGCAAATTCTGGGGGCACTTAAAACACAATACAATCGTGGGTTAGTATTTTTATATACCCATGTTTCAGCAAATCATGATGAAAAGTGTTCAACATGATTAATTAATTAACTCATTAACTGACACAAATACAGGTTGACATGTTTAACAAGAGATTTGGTGGGGGATAAAAACAGTAATGAGCTATAAGATATAAAATCAAGGTATTGCAATAAAAAAATAATATCACCTAAAATAGTAAATTTTGAGTTTAAAATAAAATGTAACTCACAATATTCTGTAGTATATGATTTATTTAAATTAAGATATACAGATTAATATATAAAACTGTCAGCTAGATGTAACATAGATAAAGATAACCAACACATTTTACTACAATTCTTTATCAATCTTAAAAGGTAAAAAATGTGTTCAGTATCATTACCTGTATGTATAAGTAACATGTACATTTTTAACCATAATGTTAAGGGATAGCCATTGAAATTAATACCCGAGTGTCAGGTTGTAAATTTAGGATTCTTTTTTTGGACCACTCTACCATGGAACTTATACAATTTTTACAAGGTGCCAATGGCATAAGTAACGAGTCATTGAATATGTACAGTACTGAATGCAAATCAGTTTTAACAGTTTTGTTACATGTTTAACAAGGTGAATAATGATCTAACATGTTAATAATAATTTCAAAACGACCGACCTACATATATAATTGGCAATCATACTGTACCTGTTTACCAGATACGAATCAAATTGATGTACATGTAATAATAAGTTTTGGGGTAAAATATTTCATATTGTTCTTTAGCGGCTCATCCACACAATACTTTGGTTTTTTTTTAGAGTATCATACATTTATTATTTCTATGGTAGCGTGTGAAATTACTTACATATTATCAGAGAGGATAGTTTCTATCGGTAGTTAGACATTAACTTTTTATATGAGTGTTTTAGGTTTTGTCTACTATCAAGTTTTCTGGACACAGAAAGGAAATGGGGTTTAACGTCCTACTGTTCTGCTCTGAACTGGGCTAATGAAGATGGGCATACACCATACAGTGTGCTATGAGGGATATTTTGCCCGGACAGCGGCACTATGGCCTACTCTTATATCGAATTACAACTGTCAATAGAGCTGGGCGATATCCCTGGAAACAGATATTTTTTTCTAAAAAAATGTCAATAATTTCAGTTTATCGCTTTTAAATGTAATAAAAATATCTAATAAGGTGTTAGAAATACCCCCGGAGTATTCACTTGATACATTCTTGTCAGTATAATTAAGAGTTTTTAGCATAAATACAGTACAGACTTTATAAACAAAATTTAATGATCTGTCTACAGCAATGTAGCCTTGCTAAAAATATTGATCTATGTTGTTTACTACAATTTTTTTTCCAGTATATTAATTAAAAAAAAAGCTTTTGTTCTTTCGGCCATGCATGTTTTTTTGTAACTACCCATACGGGTACGATTGGAATCATTGGATGCTATTCATTTACCATAGTAAACTCGTTTTTCTCATTCAAGCACATCCCTTCTTAAAAATGCATTATGCAATGCAAAATACAAATTATACTATAAAACGTAAGTAGTATGTAAAAAAAAGTGTTCATTGATTTATTTAGTCCAATATTTTTTCCCGGATCACGGACCGCCATGACACGTCCGATGTTTAATAATCAGTCTACCGGAACTCTCAATATAGTTGGCATTATTTATATTTCTGCTTTATTCAAATTAATTCAATCTGAAAAGCAATGATTCCTTTGGAAAATCAAAAAATCTGTAAAAACAATTCGTCAAATTGAATAGAAGCTGGGATAATTCTAACAGTATTGGTCCGGTGAAAAAGTGAGCGAGAAGTCACATGATGTAAACAAAGCTCTTTAGCGGCATTTGCTAACTTCATGGAATGAACACTCTTGAGTTTGTAACATTATTTATTGCTATTTATTCATCATTAAACAATAAAATATCATAAATAAAATAAAAAGACATTTTTAAAATATTTATGTTAAATATCAACCAGAAAAATCAAAACCGCAATATTTCAATATTTTTCTGAAGACGGTATTTTGGACGGTTTTTATTTCTGTGACGATTTTATATCAAAAAAACGAAATATCTAATTGTCTAGGGATCTTTTATGTGTTGCCAATGTGTACACGGGACCTCGGTTATTCGTCCCATCCGAATGACTAGACAGCTGTCCTTGTCAGGCCCTCCGTCCTGCATCACTGACAATTGGGAACCACGCAAGAAAATCAGGATGAACTTTCTCTGCCAATGCAGCGATCAAACACCCGACCTCCAGGCTATCGAGGCAGAGTCTTCACCACTTAGCCACCGTGACCCCCTTCTGGACACAGATTTTTATGTGTCTAAATAAAGAGGGGTATATAATGACATAACTTTAAGAATGGCCAAAGATCTATTGAATAGATTTAGACAACACTGAAAACAAAAAGTATTTTGGACCAGTGAATCCTTGAAATAATACATCAATATGTTAAAGTATTTAATCAGCATGTCTGTCTCTGGATGGAAAATGCCACCACTATACATGTAGTTTGTTAATACAACCATTTAAATGTAAATCAGTTCACAACACTCCCTTCTGAATGATCACCATAAACACAAGACTTTCAAGCTGATGTCAGTATCATACACAAAAATAAAACTTCATTATGGTTCTTCTATGGTATGGCAACACAGTCAGACAACAACCAAGACAGATATATCCAGTTAACACATCTATATTGTACATAACACATCTTTGTTAAGGGCAGGAACCTTCTTTGATGTACTGCACAGCAAGTTGCTCAGATTTTGTAATAAGCATTTTAACACGTTAAATTAATGGCCATTCTGATATAAAAGTATAATCTAAATCCAACGGCATCATCAGATCAGCCCATCATTTGACACCAAAAAGATATTCTTACTATGAAAGGCTATAAAACAAATGACGACTGGAAGAGCATATAGAAGCCAGCTTCTGGTATACCATTGTCTTTGAAGAACATGCTCACAGAGTCACAATATACATCAGGTCCTCATTATAACAGACAAAGTACAGGTCAGTCTAGTTTCAGGTTCTTCTAGCAATCCTTGGCAGTACAAATATTTTCAGCATACTATTCTGCATAACCATTGTAATCAATGCTATTTTACACTGTTAAATGTTCACAGTACGTCACACTAACCATTTATTCACCCATCATAGTTATAAAGCAGGCTATGGTACATGTTTATGTTATGGCACAACGACGAGCGACCAACAGAATAGCCTTCACATTCACCTATCGTAGTTATCAATCCATCTATGATACATGCATATGTTATGGCATGACACCGAGCGACCAACAGAATAGCTTTTTCAAGATATAATGTTCGCAACACTAGCAGTATCCAATAAAAAAAAACCCTCAAGATGTTAGACAGTGAGCTCAATATTTTGGTTATTGTTAATATTTCTATATTAATAAATTGATATGTGACGGTAAGACTACACTTAATTACAAACCTGTGTATTAGCATCATAGTAGAGATTGGTTAAAGGATCATAATAATAGCCTGATGACTCATCATATTGATACGTAGATACATCTGGTGGTGCTATTTAAATAAAACACAGTGAAAATTATAAGTTCTTTAATAGTGCTCTCTTACTTTTATGTTCTTTTAGAATGAACATCATCTAAATTCCCAAACAGACAGCAAGCTATGATATAAACAATCGATAAAAGACAATGTTAGGTACAAAATCAGTTTATATTAGGCACAAATCTTCTGGAGCCTGTAATTTTGTCCTTTATTTCTATATTTTCATTGAAATATTTCAATATATGTCCAGCACGGGTTTCTAGTTGAAGAAATGTTTTTACTATGAAACAGTGGAGCTTTACATGAGAAGTAAATCAAGTGTCACTATCCATTAATTTGTTACTTACGATATTTAGGATAATCTGTAGTACTGTTCTGTGACCAGTTTGTAGCTACAGCAGATGATCCGACATCCTACAAAACAATCATTTTGTTTAACTAATCTTAACATTTTCCATACCTACGGAAAAGATGAGTTACAACAATATGCTGAATTTTAATTCTTTATTTCAATACAATGTTACAATTCTGAATTTTAATTCTTTATTTTAATACAAATACATGTTACAATTCTACTTACTAATTTATGTGATAATTGTGCTGCATGAGCTTGTTGAATGGCTGCTTGAGCAACAGCTACAGTTGATGCTGAAAGGAAAAAACCCAACAAAATTTGACCAATTTATAAAGAAAGAGAAATGGGATTCAAGGTCCACACAATCAATACAAGCCAGGTCATTACAGGACTAACATAAATAATGGTTCAATTTCATTTCAATATTCACTTATGCATAGGGGTCTGGAGCAGTTGGAAGAAACCAGAGAACCTGGAGAAAACCAAAGATGTTGGCCAGATGACCAATCTAATTAAAAAATACCACTGGTAAAGGATACAGTATTTTACAAATCTAATTAAGTATATCAGGTTTTATAAGTGTGTAAACTATCAACTAAAATTATAAATATTATATTGACCTCCTATATTTGATGGTTGTGGATTATAGTAGGAATAATTATATTAAATACTAGAAGAATGCCCGGCTTCGCTCGGGGGTCATAACCCCGAAACCGGAAGTGGTAGACTAACGCCAACCTGGCTATGTTACTCCCCAGTCCGAGCTACCACTATACCCCAAATTTCAGACTCGGGGCAGACCTAGTGTAGCCGCCAACCCCGAACAGACAGACAGACAAACGACAGTCACAAATATTAGTATAGAAGATATCAGGTGTATAAACAGTCAAATAAAATTTAAAATATTATATTGACCTCCTGTATTCGATGATTGTGGATTATAGTAGGAATAATCGTGTTGTGTATTACTTGATGAAGGATAATATGAAGACTTGGATTCACTCGGCTGAAAATAACACAAGCAATTTATCATTAATAATGATAGATAAAATCAGGTTTAACATTCATTCAACACAAATAAGTTATTTCATAAGAAATCGGTTTGAATTCTGTCAAGCAGTTAAAAATAGGGGCGAAAATGTTAAAATTTAATGAACAGATTCAAAATGGACAAGTAGTAAGATCTTTTTGTGTAACAGGTTGGAATAAAGAACAAAATATAATTAAATGCTTTACTTACTGGTAGGGCAGCAGAGTACTGGTTCTGTGTTGCCATGCTGATTTAAAAAAGAAATTAGAACATAAATTATGTTTCAATTTGAACAAATTGATTAATAAGAAATACATGTATTTATTATGTATAATTGATTCTCTCTCAGACAATGTTGTCTATCAAGGTAGAAGAATAGGAGTCTACTCAAATACAGGTAATTGATTCAAGAACAGTTATCTGAATGAATTAGGTAAAAACCGGTTTATAAGACAAACTTATCGTAATCTTACATACTACATCTTTAAAATATTTATAATGTACTTACACAGTGGTAAATGTATTCTTAGCAAAGGCAACAAGAATTTGTTTGCCATCTACTTCGAATGGTGGTTTAGTCGGAGCCGTTAAAACTTCCAATAATGCCGATGAATCACTGACAGAGTTCATCTCAGCAAAGCCATACCCTCGAGATGTACTGGTAGCTTTATCTCTCATGATACATACATTTTTTATTGGTAGTAAAGTATGTTTACTGATTGTCTGTAGTAAAGTTTCTTCAGTTGTTAGAGCATCTAAACCTCTAAATACCAATGCTGAAATCATTCATGTAGAAAATTAGAGTCGCTGAGTTTTGGGAAAATAACTAATCCGCACTAAATGTACTCAAACTGATTTTTAACATTTAATTAAGAAAGGAACCAGTGGCTGCCAGGCAGGATACGCCCACATTTTCAAGAGATGGATAGAGAACAAGCTAAAAAGAAAGTGATTTTTCCTACAATCAAGGGCCATAATTCAGGAAATTACAATTCGATATGCGCAAATATCGAAAGGAACTGAGATCTTTGGGTTATAAACTTACATTTCAAGTTTCAACAAAATCGGATAAAAATTGTGACCTCTATAGGGTCCACAACCTTGATATACCATATTTTTACGCTATTTGAGAACGAAGGTCGGCCATTTTGTCTGTCAGTTTTGGGCCGATTTTCATGAAATTTGAACTCAGCTGTCCTTAGGGTGTAACGTTGATATAATAATACGGTTTTTCAAATCGGATAAAAATTATGACCTCTAATTTAAGGGTCCACAAGCTAAAAACGTGATTTTTCGTACAATCAGTGGCCATAATTCAGGAAGTTACGGTCCGATATGCACAAATATCGAAAGGAACCAAGATCTCTGGGTTATAAACTTACATTTCAAGTTTCAACAAAATCGGATTAAAATTGTGACCTCTATAGGGTCCACAACCTTGATATACCATATTTTTACACTATTTGAGAACGAACAGCGGCCATTTTGTCTGTCAGTTTTGGGCCGATTTTCACGAAATTCAAACTCAGCCATCCTTAGGGTGTAACGGTGATATAATAATACATTTTTTTAAATCTGATAAAAATCATGACTTCTATAGGGTCCACAAGCTAAAAACGCGATTTTTCGTACAATCAGGGGCCATGATTTAGGAATTTACGGCCCGATATGCGCGAAAATCGAAAGGAACCAAGATCTTTGGGTTATAAATTTACATTTAAAGTTTTAACAAGATCGGATAAAAATTGTGACCTCTATAGGGTCCACAAGCTAAAAACGTGATTTTTTCGTACAATCAGGGGCCATAATCCATGAATTTCGATCCAATACATGCCAATATCGAAAGCAGTCAAGATCTTTTGGAGATAAACCTATATTTCAAGTTTCGTCAAAATCAGATAAGAATTGTGACCTGTAGAGAGTCCACAAACAATTGTGACGGACGGACAGGGGCGACGGCATAAATACATCCACATGAAAATGTGGGCGTATAAAAACTATATTCTAGCTAATTGTATTGCAAATATAAAACATTTTTATATTTTGTGAAATACTGGTATAAAATACTGTGATACTTTCCACGGTATTGTTCTTTATCTCTGATCATGAGCAAAATAAAGTTTATATTAAAATTTAATTTACTTACTATTGCAAGGATTTAACCCAACTTCATCAAAACCTTCACCTGTTTTGACTCTATCAGAATCTGTGAATAAATTAAACAGACATTATCATATGGACAGAGTGACAGATATTTATTAGTCTAGTATAGACACGACACCTAGTTATTAAACATACAACAAACTTTATAGAAAGGTGTTGAGGCTTGTGGCTGGGATCGAATGTTGTTTCTAGTCAACATCATCTTCACCCACCTGATAAACTAGTAAAAAATCTCACCTTCTCTTGAAAGACCACATTTAAAACAAACATCTCTTCTACGGAAATTATGTACACCACACTGCAAAATAAAATAAACTTTTTATTCATATTGTCATAAAACAAAACTTTTGTCAAAAGTAAGTTCTTAAAAGTAAAGATATTCTTTTTTAATGGTATTAATGTTAAATAAATGAAATGGGGTTTAATGTTCTACTTTTTTTTATACCAACCAGGCTAATGAAGGTCAAAGTTCAATACGTTACATACTGACCTTTTTACAAATCCAATCACAGCGAGTGGGTGGAAAACTGACAGGTGATGCATTTCTGGGTGTACTGTAGTGCAACGTAACCAGGATGTCCATTAATGTAATCTGACCCTGTCAAATAATAATAATCATATTATATTTCTTATTCATGATGAAAATATTAGTCCAACCAGCCTTCAACATTGATGCGCCATTCTTTTATCCAAACCGAAAGACGACGTTCTCAGAAAACATGTCCGACTTTCCCAACCTTTTCCAAGTCAGATGTAGCCTACATTCGTATCTGCTAAGTATCAATTCCATGAAATATACAGTCTATATAACTATCATCAATGGATTGATATATCAATTAAAATATATACATAATATTCAATACTCTTAAAACTATATATAGGCACACAAAATAATACACTCACACACACACACATTATGTATCTTTCAACATCACAAAAGATAAATATGTGCAAATAAATGAATTGGATGGAATAAATTGTGTTTGATAAGCTAATATTTAAATAACTGAGAGTTGTGTATTGGGGTATTTATTTATTGTGTTTTGAATGGTTTGTGAGAAGTTGTGTTTTGAAATTAAGTTGTGTTTTGAAATGTTTCAAGTTAAATTGTGTTTTGAAATGTTTTTATGTTAAGTCGTGTTTTGAAATGTTTTGTGTCAAGTTGTGTTTTGAATATTTTGGGTTATGTGAAGTTGTGTTTTGTGTATATCGTGTTTTATATCATGTATACTATAATCCTCTCTACTATACCATACAAAGACATGAAAACTTTAAAATGGTGCTGAATTAAACCTGATTGATCTCCATCCACTGCTGAGCGTCCTCAACGTTCGTAAACTCCACGAAAGCAAAGCCCCGGGATGCACCTGTTCAATAATTAACACGATCTTTATTAGTGGAATTGTCAAACTGAAGCCTGATAAAACAGCGTCATACAAACTTATCAACTTTAGAAACTTGCTGATAACAAACTGATCAATATAGCTGGGATATACATTCAGCACATGTATTTTTACTTACCTTCACAGAAATAATCAGAAATAATTCAATTTTGAAATACAAACTTGCCAATTGCTAAATTTTAATCTCTTTTCCCAGACTAAAGTCACCCAACACTACAGCATTAGATAGAAATATAACAAAAAAAACAAACTTCAAAGTGAAAATAAATCAGGAACGGTGTTCCCATTAATAATCATTTAAATGATACTCAATACCTTTATTAAAATAACAACTGAAAAAATATACATATTACAATAAGCTTGGAAGATAATACCAGAAAACATGTAAAGCCATTCATTTATCGTATTAATGTTGTGGTATTCAGTTTGAAAATCAGCAAGTTTCTAACTAATCTACCTATTCATTTAAAAGAAGTAAATAAAGTCAATTCTTACCAGCATTTCTTCGCATTAAGCGAACTTCTCTGGGAGGAATACCGCTAGCCATAACCTTTTTAGTTATCTATAAAAAAAAAAGATAAGAGTCTTGTAACCAAGCTGAATTAAACAAGTGTTCAGGAGCTTTCCACAACATAAATCACTGAAACAGCATCAAATAATTTCTTGCTCTAAAGAAAACAAATGCTGATAAATGAGTTATTAAAACTTAACAGAATGTAGAACTTACATAGGACTCCTCGATATTTGATGGAAGTCCTCTCAACAAAATAGTATTTGTTGGTTTTTCTACCATCCATTTATCAGTTGATCTCTCATCACGGCCGTATCTGTCACTGTCCACCTGCATTAAAAAAAAACGGATATAAAAAATCCCATCCACAATCACACAGCATCATTTCTATATATTTTTAACTCCAGTAGTCAGTGATTCCTATAGACACCACATGCTACATGTAGCCTTCATCTTAAGACAATGGTTTATTTTTATTAATGACAATACTGAGATGGATCTTTTGTAAAATTTAACTAATAGTATACTCTATAACATCTACCCCAGTTGCATTTCTATTAAAGAATAGAATGGGGGTTTAAATGCGCCAAACATAAGGGTGATTCTTTCCAGACAGAATGGGGTTTAAAAACTCATAAACACTAGTCATTTTGAGACTAACATATGGTAAATTACATCTGTAATCTTAAACTGACCAGGCATTTTTCAAAACCTGAATTCATTACTGGCGCTACTTTATAATTTGTAGAACTTACATCATATGATGGTGATTGGCTTCTTCGATCCCGGTCATATCTATCTCTATCACGATTTCTATCTCTCTCTCGACTGCGATCCCGATCTCTGTCTCGGTCTCTACTTCTATCAGAGCGGTCACTTCTTCGTTTGTCATCACGATTTCTTCTATTTGATCTGAAATTAATGACAGTCAAATATACTATGTATACCGGTATCATTAATAGAATTGATTATGGTAACATAAATGTTTTAGATAATGACTATGATGAGTTGATATTATTACAGAAGACTTACCTATCTCTATCTCTTTCCCTCTCTCGATCTATTTCTCGCTCTCTATCTCGGTAATCTGTATCACCTGAGTTACTGTAGCTTTTCGAGTCTTGAAAATTGGAGTCTGCGTATGATGGATCATTGGAACGATTCCTGGGTGCATTTTCATATCGATCGTTGTTATATTTCGGTTCTGTGTTTACATATCGATCATTGTTATATTTCTGTTCTGTGTTTACATATGATGGAGCGGATCTTGAATAAGACTGAGAACCGCCATTTGGAGAATTATATTGGTAGTCATCTGGTTTATTATTGTAACTGTTATTATAATCATCAGGATAAATATTATCATTGTAGATTTGATGATTAGTAACAATATCGGCTGTAAGTGGAGGACCACTCATACTATAATCATATCTATTTGCTGGATTAAATGGTAGATCATATCTGTTTCCATACATAGGATTACGATTTGGATTCATTTTTATCTTTGTTTGTTCAGTCCGCTGTTCTCTGTAATACGAAACAAATAAATATTATAATTAATTCAACATTGAACATGTAAAGACAATGAAATATTCAAGTAACAAATTGCTGCTTGTGTATTCTATAATAATAACTTTAAAAATCAGACAATCTTAATCCTACAATAAAAATCAAATGTAATGTTACAAAGTGTACTTATCACCCAACATATTAAAACTTCAATTTCTTTAAAGTTAAATGGCATCTAGAAGTATGGTTAACTATTCACAAACAACATGGACTTAACTATTTTAGTTATTTCCCTTTGATCACATGACACGACACACTATATACATATAATAGATAACCAATAAACAACCCAATGCTATAAAATAATGAACCATAAAACAATCAATCATTGAATAATAATATATTAGTTTGTTGCAATGTTCGCCATTAGATCATGTACCTCCCTTGACCACATACATGACATGTACAATACTACATGTATAAATAGATATTTCACAATTATTACTGTATAATTTTTGCAAGTTTTGACATTAACAAACATGGATGGTAATTGAGAAATTCTGTCAGTTTTAGATAATAAAATTGAAAATGTTTATTTAGTCTTTGTTTGTATGACAGATGTGAAACAGAATAGAAACGCATTACAAAACTGTATACTAATTTTTGGATATGGCGGTTGTTTAGTGCAGAGATCTATTCTTGAATAATGAAGTAGATGAAAACTGCTGTATTTGAGCAAATTTTCACTACTTGGGTCACCCTATGACATGGACTGAAATACATGTGACATGAACATTTATAAACAAAAGATTACCCAGTAAAATTTACAGGGGAGTTTAAAACTTTCAACAAGGGCTGATAGGCGTGATCCTGAACATAATGGTTGAGTAAGGGTAAAGGAGACTTATGCTCAGAGTTGAACTAGGCCGCTACGAATATGAACACATCTCGTGCAGAACCGCTCAACATAAACTTGCAAATGAAAATGAAACATTGGGGTTTAACATCCTATTTCTCTACATCTACGAAATGAAATGGAGTTTTAACGACCTACTGTTTTGCTCTAAACTGGGCTAATGAAGACGAGCATACAATACATATATGCCATAGTGTGCTATGAGGGAAATTTTGCCCAGACAGCGGCACTATGGCCTTCTCTAACGTGCACGCAAATGTGTACATGGGACCTCAGTTTTTTTCTCATCCGAATGACTAGACAGCTGTCCTTGTCAGGCCCTCCGTCCTGCATCTCTGACAAGGGGGAACCACTCTGGATGAACTTTATCACCTAATGCAGGGATGGAACACCCAACCTCTGGTTTATCGAGCCAGCCTCTTACCCACTTAGCCACCGTGATCCCCTCTGCATCTACTGAGCTAGGGCTAATGAAGATGGGTAGGCAGTGTTCTAGGCCTAGGTAGGAGGGAATTTTGCCTGGACAGCATCACTACAGCTTACTCTTATTTATTGCGTATTGGCTTGTCTTCATCGACCGATTGTCCACTGGTACGAAACTGCGGTTTCAAATGTGGTTAGTTTTGTAAATAAAAAAGTTAGCTTTTCGCCTCATTTTCAAATTTTTACTCAAGCTGCTCCAAGTGCGGAGAAAGCTAAACGTCAAAATGAAAGTAGAAAACAACAAGTTGAATTTTTTGTTGTCATCCTTATTAGGCTATGGTCTACGAAATTAAAAGAAAGTGGATAAACGACCGGATCCGGCTTCCGATATATCGTCTCTGATTGGCCAATTTTAACATGTGGTTATTTTCCAATATGGCGGCCCCTACAGGCTTTACGGCTCTAAATTCACTTTTAGTGGCGATGAAACAATTTTAATTTAAGAATAAAGTGACATATTGGCGAAGAGATACGCGGACATTAGAAAATGGGTTAGGGTTAGGGTTGGGAACCGAAATTTACGATATATTCGTAAATTTTCATTAAAGAGCCGGATCCGGTCGTTTATCCACTGCCAAATTAAAATTGAATGGCAATCTTTGGCGTTAGGTTATTCCAGTCTACACAGTCACAGTGGTAGTCTGTATTCTTCACCGTGGGAAATGTTTAGCCTCATTCATAGAGTCGCTTCATTACAAATGGCGCTCGGAAGCATTCTTCTGGCATGCGATTCATGTGCCAATTTAAAAATTTTATTTTGTCTTAAATATTGGATATCAGAAGCCCATCTTTTCACGGTAAGATAACATCAATATTGATTTAAATTGACCAACAAGTCGTGTTGGCAATGTCGAAGACTGTGAATGATACTGAGTTACAGACTTGCCGCCTTTTTATTAAAAAGCTAAACAATGAATCTCGCTAGTCGCTAGGCCTCTTAAGTCTTTTTGATTTCTGTTGCCGTGTTGGACTTTTCACACCCAACTATTTTTAATCCACGGCACAAGCTGAAGCCCTATACTTACTAAAAGTCCTCTTTTGTATTTTATCAAACTATTCCACACTAATAAACAGTCATGGGGAGAATTACTGTGTACTAGTTTGTTATTTCATAACATTTTCAATTACTACTTCAAAATTATCATATAAATAGTCTGAAGTCTAAAAAATAAAATGGCTACCTTCAAGCTTTGATAAACCTGGAATTGTGGGTAATTTTGGGAACTTTTTGCCCCAAATGGTGCAAGGGAATATACTCCAATTTGCCACATCAGGTATCAGACCAGTATTTATCTAACATTGACTGAGTGGGTGGAACATTATGGTTCAAAGTTTTTCAAGAATTTTCACATATTCCGTACCTGACACCGAACACTGTCATAAAGAATGTTGAATCACTAACTTTTAAACATGCATTTTCGATTTTTGATGCAGGCCTCCGACATTTGGTAAAGTTTTCAAATTAACTAATAATTTGTTTTAATCTTTTAGCCATGTTTTAGCTGAGACATATCAACAGAAAAAAAATAATTATGATTTCTAATACATAAGGAAAGGTAAAGTGTGAGATAAAAATATTTTAAACTACTCGCCTTAAACCTATTTATAATGAAGTTGGCCAAATAATTACTTAGGCAGAAATGTTTTAGTTTTGTTTATTTCTTTCATTTGCCTTTGCCTGAAAACAATTAATCCCTCCCAGAAATTACTGGCTCTCACCAAGAAAATAAATGTAATTAATTCCTTGAGCATTGGGTTAGTGAAACCACATCAGTTATGTTTCTATTTGGTACCACTTTTTCAACGGACCCTATTTCATAACAGCTGGGAATTGATTAATCTATTGTATTTTCATCTTTCAACAACCTAAGTTCATTATAAGTATAAACCTTACATGTACTTATGTATTTTTCTATTTTGCTTATTACTGTTAGATCTACCTTGGTCTATTGAGTATATACTGTATATGATTTTTCAACCATTGACTTGTAAAAATGTCATACACAAGAGTGTATTTAAAAAACTGAAAGGAATCGATGGCATAACAACGTGAAAGTAGGCCTACCTAATTCTTTGAATGATTGGATCCAAGAAATACATGTATATATAAGTGGAGCTAAATTTAATTCTAGGCCATTCCAAAAACAGATCAAGTCATCATATGAAATCTGCAATTGTTTATATTTTAAAGAGACTGCTCCTTTGTCAACTAATAGGTAGAATTTCATTTCGTCGTTTTAAAAGATTAAACAAATATTATTGCACTGTCTGCTTTAAAGATGCATTATGTAAGATTTAGATAAAGAGCTGGCTGTTCTTGCTATAATAGTTCAAAAACAGATCATGAAAAATGGATATACTTGATGTAAATAGTCTGGATTGTCAAGTACCATTGTTACAATAACAAAGTTTTGATTATCCATTTAACTTTAAATTATTAAAATGGCACAGGTGTTCTAATTCATTTAATAAATTGGCCATCTGATGATGTTAAGAGTTCATTACGGGCTTGTCATGTAAATAAATGTTTAGATAATAATTCACATATGAAGCTTGAAAAAAGAGCTGCAATATACACGTATATAGTATATTTAATTATGTAACCAGCTATTGGCATTTTTCTATTTAAATTTGCCAAGAGATCCAATTCCTTTCTGTCAACCTGCCATTCTCTTTGCATGCGACATGTCTGTCAATAGGAATTCATTGAAAGGCTCTGTTCTATTTTGTAGCCATTTTGAGAAACTATGGTACAGTTCTCATTGTTTGAGATGCTAAATGACAATACATTCTGATAAGTAAAATAAATCTTTAATATCTTATTATTCTTACATATTTTCTCTGTACATTAGTCAACCGAAGGTAAAATACAAAATACCAATATTGAATAAAAACTATACATATAAATGCACACTGTATGTACAAGTTTACAGAATATTATTATTGAATTAGAGCATGTATATTGAACTGAGACAAATCACAAATGACAATGTTTTGAAATTTTTTTACACAAAATTGGTTATTATAATTACATGTTTAAAGACCTCTAAAAATAAACAATAAAACGACACCCACAGAATAATAATAATATGTCAATTATCAAAATAAAAATATCCAGTCTTATCAAGATAAAATTGTAGAATGTATGTAAAAATTACTGTTACAACAAATACACCAATAGAAAAGTAATGGTGAATAAATAGATGAATAAAAATGAGCTATTTATTTAATTTGCTTGAGGCTATTGTCTCTTTGTGGTTTAAACTTCAAAAGTTTGGCATAACTTTTGAGGAGTTTTTTCCAATAGCATGATATATCCTCCATTTTGAGATGGTCCCAGATAAACTGTCTCCCTCTTGTTGCTATTTCCTTAGCAACCTCATCATTTTCTTTAGCAAAATGTAGAAGATCTTCAACATCTGATAAATCTTGCTTAACAGGAATGTAATGCACCCATGGTTTCAAGACTGGATAGAAAAATTCCAACCATTCATCACCGACATGGAACACAAGTGAATCACATAAAAACAAATGTTTAAATCTGAAGCTAGCTGCTACACCACGGAAATTGAACAAATATTTGTATTTACAGTGATCTTCCAGTTTGATCTCAGTAGCTGCCGGTCGATGAAGTGTGTCTGCCTCAGACTTCCAAGCCTGATTCTTTGTGTATTCTGCATCTACCAAGTCAGGTTTTGCTCTTGATAAGAGAATTAAGGGATCACGTTCTGCACTTGTTCTTGACCCCCGGAAAAAGGCTTTTGTGTGTTTTTTCTCCCATGGCCATTTCTTTGCTTCTGCTGGAATAATATTCCTCTGTTCATCCCAGCGACCTAAACCGGTTGGATATATTGGCCAAACAGCTGGTCCACCCTCCCAAAATGTCCAGGCAGGATACATAATATCCCAATGTTGTTTCTTTACAGTACTGAATGAAAACACTGGGATTGGTGGATTGAACTTTGAGGATTGTGGCCAATCACGCACATTAATTATCATTTCCATATCGGGTAATTTCTTGATAATTTCCAATATATAATGCTGCACACCCGCACATCGGGCAGAGAACATGCAATCCTCCTCACGGTATAATTTGTGGTTGATGATTTGATAATGGACACCATTAGCCTTCGCCTTGTTTATACCCTCAGCAGTAATACCGTCCTCTTTATTTTTCCACACCGATAAATCGTCTTCTATAACACTGTCGTAACACGAACAGTCTGTGCTTTCACATTCTTTATATTCCTCCACAGCCTTGTCAATCAACGACAGATATTTCTTCCATTTTGTTGACTTTTGATATTTGGTCTTTTCATGATCGTTCGTGCCTATATCACATTCTTCACCCTCCGCGTCACAACTTTTGTCACTTTTTATAAAAGAAATAAAAGTCAAAACTAATAAGACAACATAAATCGAAAGACGAGGCAGCATTTTCCGCGAAACTAGAAAAACCGCCTCTAAATTGAAGAGCTAAGGCAACCGGAATACTTCGTTTAATTTGGGTAAGATGACACGCTTTTTTTTGTCAAATTTCTGACAACCAACCAGTGGAGTGTCGATCGCCGCTAACGTTCAAATGACACAGTTCGAGTATGATACAACACCATAACTATATCGGTCGTAATGATACAGTTAGAGAACCTATATAGATTGGCTAAGCCTAATTTAATACGCGTGTGTACACCAGGCCTTGATATGATTTATACAGTATAAATCAATATAAATTGATATAATGATATTTGTGGACAGACATCGGCATAAAACACACGTAGCGCACATCTGGTGTAAGAATTTATAGGTAGGCTATTTGTGCGAAAATGGTTTCACAGCATATTCACAAATAAAAATGTAATTAATTTAGTATTTCACTTCACTGTATGCCACAAGTTACTTTCGATCATTGAGGAATAATTCGGGAAAACGGGAAGATTTCGCCCGGGTACGTAATAGATCTCTGTTTCAGAGCTCTGATGAACAGTAAATTAGAACAATATATAACAGATATAACCTCTGTCCCTCATACGCGTCCATGAGCTCAATGAAGTTTATGTTCCAAAATGAAATCTCAGTTCTGCAACGAACCCAAGCTTTTTACTTTTAGTAGAGCATTTTGCAAACTAACGTTCATTTGGTCATCGTTCATTTTTTGTTCATGCCCATCTTTTCTGGAACAAACTACATCTAAATATTAGAACCTGTTCATCGTTGTCGTTAGTAAAGAACAATTTGAAAATGCACCTCTTAGAGGCGCTTCCACGGTAATACGTCATTTTGATTTATGCATAGTCATGATTGTTTATGCATTAATTAAATTTTTAATATTTAAAGTTGATCGTGGAAGTTGTGCGCTATAAAGATGAACAATAAGAATAATAACAATATATATGTAATTAATAGTTATTTTTTAAAAAGGTGTGTTACTATAACACTTTCTCTTAACCAAGCCCAAACTATTTTTTCGACCTAGCTCCGCACGGAGTAAGTGATCCGTCAGTATTTAATTGAACCATATGTCAATTGTGGTTGAATTTTTCGGACACAACCCGTCTTCCTCGCACTGGGTTCGATTCCTGGCGCGCTCTGAGAGGAATCTCCGGATTGTTTAAGCCTGGTTTCCATTTGCAGTGGATATAGCTAGTATGAGACTGACAAGTAAAAAGTTGGCTAGTCCTTCGGGTGGTACAGAATTGCGGGAAACTCATGTACACATTCGCGCACATTCCCATCACTATATAATATATATCATTACACACGTTACCTTAGAAACAAATAATCGTAAGTTAGTCTCAAAACACCGAAGTACCACTTTTCAGCGCAGCGCCGACTGACATGATGTTAAATAGGCTAGACAAACCGAGTGGAAATATATATGTATATATATCAACACACCAAAAACATACACCTGTATGGCTCTTTATTGATTTTGCTGAGTAAATATTGGGATAAAGCACTTGTACACTCACAAAGTTCAGACCACTTTCTTTTTCAGCTGATTAAACGTATGACAAGTCTTTATCCTATAGTTCATTTTGCTTAGCCTTTTTTGTCCGAACTGGCAAGTGTTAAATTATCCAGAAATCCCCGTGTAAATATTACGCGTCAACTGATGATTTGAAGTTGCAAGTGTATTTAAATGTCAAACTCTCGATGTCACTGATTAGATATGTTTAAATTTAGAACATTTTCCACTACTTTTGTAGTCAGTTTTCAAAGGTTGTAACAATTGCAAAATGTTTCGATCGTCGCCCGAAAATTTGTTCATCCCCCCGATTTTCAGAAGACAATAAATTCTTCCCATTATTTGTCGGACGACACAATGACATGACACATTATTTTTCGCCTCCAGTAATATGTAAGACGTCAAGATGAATCCAAAATGTCACTTTTAATTAAATCTTATTTTATTACCACACTGGATGCGCGTCTGACACTTTGGCCTAATGATTAATTTATGTATTGGAATAATATAATTGGCACAGAAAAACAAAAACCCAAAAAATCCAGTGCTTAGCCGCAAAGGTGTTCATTATCTACCATTGGATAATTATTCTCGGGGAAATGTATCGATTTGCTAAAATCAAAACCACCTCAAAACTTAACAAACAAACCCCTTTCCCAAAGGTGGGTTTGATGGCCAAAGGGTTACCGCGTGCGCGTTGTATCATAAGATCTATCATTGAGTCAATTTGCGTGGTATCGATTCACCGGTTGTATGTGAGTTTAAACATATTTTATTACTTTAAAGTAAACGGATCGGGCAAAAGTTACTAAAACTCCAGAGGTCACAATTTTGATCTGATTTTGATGAAACTTGAAATCTATATGTTTATAACCCAAAGATCTTGCTTCCTTTTGATATTCGCACATATCGGATCGTAACTTTCTGAATTATGGCCTCAGGTTGTACGAAAAATCGCATTTTTAGCTGGTGGTTCCTCTAGAGGTATCTTGCCTGGCAACCGCTGGTTACTACTAATTTGAATGTCATGATCAAGACTCGTGCATTTGCTATTAGAGCAGCCTATAATACTTGCCATTAACTTTAAAACATCCTTATTAAATAACAGAGAAGTAGTTATATGTGACAAAGTGCTCTATAAAATTCATCAAATTTTCTATCTTATGAAATGTGAGCGATTATTTAGTTGCATAGAATTTATTGACCGCCAGCTGGTTTTGATAATATATGATATTGGTTATTGACCTATAAGTACGTACACGCTATGTTGTAATTAAAGGACATTTTTGGTGTCAGTTTTTATCACAAATAGAACTCGTTAAACACGTTCCAAATATAATTTTAACACAGAGATCATTGCTATACGATAGATGCGTAGTGAAGGTTTCTACAAAAAGAAGTGACGAACACAAAAGGAAAACACGAGTTATATACATGTATCCTTCTATATAACTGACTGAAGTGGCGAGTGATAAGAGATACACGGGCGAATTTCTGCTCATCTGCTCACTAACAATTCCTTCGAAGACCAAAAGTTGTTTTGTGAGACTGTGAGAGGATATCTGACAATTCAAAAAAGTAACTGAATGTCACTAGATAAGAGAACACGAGAAAAATTGATATAGTCCGTACATTCACTTGTTTTTATTCATTCTATACTTAATAAAAACATGGTAATGCATGGAATTTTTCAATATTTTTCGTTTACTCTTTTCTAGTTACAGTCAATTGCTGTTTTGAATCGTCTGATATTCTCTCACTGTCTCATATAAAAACTTTTGGTCTTCGAAGGAATTATTAGTGAGCAGAAATTCGCCCGTGTATCTGTTATCACTCGTCATTTCAGTCAGTTATATAGAAGGTTAACTCGTGTGGCAATGATCTCTGTATTAAAATTATATTTCGAACGACGTGTTAAACCACTTCTATCACATATTTATGTGATAATGACTGACACCAATATTGTCCTTTAAGGACTAATCAATCCCTTATAATCTGTGTACAACCTGGTGGCCAACTAATCTAAACAACTCCATATATGACTTGTGTTGTGAGACTCAATTCCTGTTATTGAAAGGTATATGGAGCAGGAACCGGCGTATGGACTCACCCGAGTCCAGCCGCTTCCGTGACAGAGGGGCGGAATGGTTGTAATATATGGTTATGTACTGTGTTAATGTTATAGTTTATATTCCTGGTGTACTGGTTTTAGTTACTGGGTTAGTTATGTTCTAGTTTTATATTCTTTTTCCTGTTGTAAATAAATTTTATATTTACAAAACTGATATTCTGTTATCACTGATAGTGTTACATATATACCATGTGTTCTGTTTTGTTATGAATAGTTAATCATCGTATGTTAATTTGAAATGAAATGGGGTGTTTAGCGTCCGTCCTACCATGTTCTGTTTCGACTGGGCTATTGAACCCGGGCATACGCCATACAGTGTGCTGTTGGGGGGGGGGGGGCGCATATTTCGAATTCCAATTCAAGGGATCTTTTACGTGCACGTCAATGTGTATACGGGACTTCGTTTGTTTTCGTCCTTGGGCAGGGCCCCATCCTACACACTGACAAAGGATAACATCCCCATGATTTCCAGGTTAGCGAGCCACAAAAACTGTATTTGAAGGTCACTGAAATATTACTATCATAAATGAGAGTCCGAGAAGGTCATATATTTCTGAAAGATTTATCTTATAATTCACTATGTTGAATGGAGTTGAAAGATGGGTTCCCGCGTACAAACTGGGTGATTTAATGGTATATATGGACTAAAACATATTCAAACTATATAATTAATTTGTCATAACTTTGCTTCTAATCCTTCTCAAACATTGTAATTGGGAAGGAACGTCAGGCTATAAAAATTCGATCAAACCAGGTCATTTTACCTCTCTTGGAAGTCAGAGGAGAATTCATTGCATACATAAGAGGGTGTTGTCTTTAATCGCTTACTATTTATTACAAATATCGAATCCTAATTAAATTCTCGGATTATCCACTACCCGCGTCTTTTTCCGTCATTTTTATTTCAGAAAGTGTTGTACGTCTAACTCTTCATAAAGTTTATCAACTTGTACATCAAGCGCTCAATGTTCGCGTGTGACCTTTGACATCACGCGTGCAGAAATTCCTAATCGTCGGGCTGTTGATTAGGGGAACCCTTACATTTTTGTCCTGTATACGCTGCATGAGTGTTTTTCGGGGAATCCAGTGTTTTTCTAGTAAGATTGGATATCTCTAGTATTTTTCTAGTAAGTTTAATCTTACCTAATGCCCCTTTAACCCTTATTGTAAATAATAACTACCCCAGTCCCTGAAATGATTAAATGTATTTTCCAGCAAATTATTGAAATAAAATTGAACCATATGTTAGTCCCGAAATGACCTAGTTTATGTTGAGTGACATGTATGGTGGCCTATCGTTATCATTCAGGATTTAACAAAATTTCTTTAAAAACCTAAATAAAATGAAATGAAAATGATAATGAAAAGCAAAATCAAAATCAAAAGTAAATT